TTTCAAAGACAAATTTTTTTCATTTCAATTCAAGTTTTAACTGTTGGACACTATTCTCCTACTGGAACAGTTTCCATAGGGATTCAAAATATATCCTTAGCATTGTTACTGAGTCTGCAAGATTTTTTAAAAAGAACGTTAAAAACCAGTAGAAAAGATGAGATAAAATATAACCAAATACAGATTTTATGCATGAATATTGCAAAGATAATCACTAATATTTAGATTTTACTTGAGGCAAATGCTTTGTTTGGAGCTTACATGAATTTGCCTTATTTAGTCTGTAAAATAACCTATGAAAGAGGAGGCATATATTTATCCCTTTTCTCAGATGAGGAATCCAAGATTTGGACAAAGCCTCCCAGTAACTCTGGTCCTCAGTCATAGCTCTCAAACTGAGGTTTGTATAATCTTCCAGACCTCATTGTTCCAGTATTATCCAATTCCAAATATATATAAAGATGATACCTACCTGCAGTACACTGGCAGATATGCTGTCTGGGTAAAAATGGTAACAGAGTGCTAAATGAGAAAAGTGAGAAAATGTATGAACACTTTAAGGAGACTAGTGTTTTGCTTGGAAAGGTAGAGTGGGAAGGATAGTCCTAGTGATGTAATCACTACATACCAGGTCAGGGATGGAAGAATAAGATGGCTTGATGGGTGCAAATTAAAAAGCATCACATTGTTATATTGAGGTTATATATAATTATGCTGAGGTGAAAGCAAAAATAGTTAATACTTTACAGATGATGTTGAGGAGAGAATGAGAATGTTGAACTTAAGATGCATACCTGCATCCTGTTTATAGTTACAGAATTTTAGAGCATTAAAGCTGTAAAAAATAAGTGATATCATCTAGATATGTAAGAGTAAGTTAAGAGTATACAGCTAGAAGCTACTTCTTCCTCCTGACCCTCTTCTGCACAAACCACTGAGCTAACTAACATCCTACAGATGAAACTTGGAATCAAGTCAGGCATAGGGAAAGGTACTGTCTGTGAATAAACTCGGCAGCTCCATTGGTGAATTCAATTCCATCTATGAATTATCCATGCTGACTTCAGGATGGTGTGACATATGGAGGAAGATAATATCTTAAAAAAGAATTCACATTGCTAAAGGTATAATTTGCGTTGCTAAACAGTTTTCCCTGATTTCAATACAAATTGTCTTGGGTTATTTTTATAAATAAGAGAAAACCACTATGACAAGTTTATTTTCTTATAAGTTATATTTCTGGATTTTTGTTGACATATTTTCAAATTGACTGCATTCCAAATACCTAAAGAGGTCTTCCAGAGGATGCAAAGGTCCCAAATGACCAAATGATGGGTGTGTAAAGAGAAGTTTAAGCACATGGAAGAATAGTGGCAAATAATAGAGCTTCAGGTTCAGAAAGACCTGTCATTAAGCCGCTACATATTGGGTGAATCCTGTAACTTCTTTGGCTTCAGTTTCGTTTAGAAAGTGAAGCAGTTGGCATAATTTGATATATCAAACTGTGAATCTTTATAGTAAATACTGTCTTGATGAACTCAAACAAGAAAAGAATTATATAATTTAACATTAAGTGTAGGAAAATCAAAACCTATATGATAAAGCTGCACTAAATATACATGTAGACATTTTGAATTCCAATATACATTTATTTGTAAACTATACCTTAAACAAAGCAAAAATGAATACATGTATATGTTTCTAGGCATACATTGTTTTATTACTCTTTGCTTTATTGTACTTCACAGATATTGCATATTTTAACAAATGTTTGTGGCAACCCTGCATGGAGCATATCTATTGGCACCAATTTTTCAACAGCATGTGCTCACTTTATGTCTCTGTGTCATGCTTTACTAATTCTCCCAATATGTTAAACTTTTTAACCATTGTTTTATCTGTTATGGTGATCTATGATCAGTGACTTTTTTAATGTGACTATTAAAATTGTTTCAGGGTGCTATGAATGGTACCCATGTAACAACAGCGAACTTAACTGATGAATGTTGTGTGTGTTCTGACTGCTCCATAGACTGACCACTCCCTATCTCTCATGTCTCAAGCCTTTCTGTTCCTAAATCAAAACAATATTGAAATTAGCGCAGTTATATAATATTATAATATATATAATATATAATATAAATAATATACAAAATAATATAATTAGGCCAGTTCTATAATATTGAAATTGGACCCACAATGGTATCTGTGTGTTCAAGTGAAAGGAAAAGTCACATGTTTCTCACTTTAAATCAAAAGCTATACAATATTAAGCTTGGTGAGGAGGATATATCAGAAGCCGAGATAGGCCATCTTGCACCAAACAGTTGCGAAAATAGTAAGGGCAAAGGAAAAAAATACTGAAGGAAATTAAAAGTGTTACTCTAGTAAACACAGAAATGAAAAGAGCAAACAGCTTATTACTTACATGGAGACAGTTCTAGTGGTTTGGATGGAAGAGCAAACAAGCTATAACAGGCCTTTATGCCAAGGCCTCATCCACAGCAGAGCCCTAACACCTTAATTCTATGACAGGTGAGAAAGCTTCAGAAGAAAAGTTTGAAGGCAGTAGAGGTTGGTTTATGAGTTTTAAAGAAAAGAAGCTCTTTCCATAACATAAAAGTGCAAGGTGAAGTAGCAAGTGCTGAGGGAGAAGCTACAGCAAGTTATCCTGAAGATCCAGCCAAGATCATTGATAAAAGTGAATACAGTAAACAACAGATTTTCAATGTAGATGAAACAGCACCCTATTGGAAGAAGATGCCATCTGGGACTTCCATAGCTAGAAAAGAGAAGTCAATGCCTGGCTTTAAGGCTTCAAAAGACAGGCTGATTCTTGCAGGAAAAATGTAGCTAGCATCTTTTAAGAAAAAAACCAATGTTCACTTACCATTCCAAAAATTCTAGGAGCCTTTATTTTTTTTTTTTTTGAGACGGAGTTTCGCTCTTGTTACCCAGGCTGGAGTGCAATGGCATGATCTCGGCTCACCACAACCTCCACCTCCAGAGTTCAGGCAATTCTCCTGCCTCAGCCTCCTGAGTAGCTGGGACTACAGGCACACGCCACCATGTCCAGCTAATTTTTTGTATTTTTAGTAGAGACTGGGTTTCACCATGTTGATCAAGATGATCTCGATCTCTTGACCTTGTGATCCACCCACCTCGGCCTCCCAAAGTGCTGGGATTACAGGCGTGAGCCACCGTGCCCAGCCCCTAGGAGCCTTAGGAATTACACTGAATCTACTCTGCCTGTGCCTATAAATGGAACAACAAGGCCTGGATTACAGCACATCTGTTTACAACATGGTGTGCTAAATATTTTAAGCCCACTGTTGAGACCTGTTTATCAGAAAAAAAGATTCCTTTTAAAATATTACTCCTCACTGATAATTTACTCAGTCACCCAAGAGGTCTGATGGAGATGTACAAGGAGATTAATATTTTCATGTCTGTTAACAGTATTCACTCTGCAGACCCTGGATTAAGGAGTACATTCAACTTTCAAGTCAAGGAGGAATTTTAACTTTCAACTCTAAATGTAATGAAAAAAATACATTTTGTAAGGCTGTAACTGCCATAGTTATTCCTGTAATAGATCTGGGCAAAGTAAATTGAAAACTTTACAAAAAAGATTCAAAATTCTAGATGCCATAAAGAACATTTGTGATTCATGGGAGGAGGTCAAAATAACAATAACAGGAGTTTGGAAAAAGTTAATTCCAACTCTCTTAGATGACTTTGATGGGTTCAAGATGTCAATGGAGGAAGTATTTGCAGATGTGGTAGAAATAGGAGAACTAGAATTAAGAGTGGGGCCTGAAGATGTGACTGAATTATTGCAATCTCTTGCTAAAACTTTAGTTAATGAGCATTGCTTCCTATTAATGATCAAAGAAGGTGTTTTCTTGAGATGGAATCTACTGTTGAAGATGCCGTGAACACTGTTGAAATGACAATGTAGTATTTAGAATTTTACATAAACTCAGGTTGATAAAGCAGTGGCAGGTTTTGAGAGGATTAATTCCAATTTTGAAAGAAGTTCTATGGGTAAAATGCTATCAAACAGCAGATAAATCTTTAGTGAAGAGTTGATTGATGTGATAAACTTCACTGTTGTCTTACTGTTTTTTAAATTACTACATCCACCCAACTTTCATCAGTCACCACTTTAGTCAGTCAGCAGCCAGCAGCATTGAGGGAAGACCCTCCAGCAGCAGAAAGATTACCACTCACCAACAGCTAGGATAATTCTTAGTATTTTTAGTAATAAAACATTTTTAAGGAATTGTTTTTTGAGACACAATGCTATTTCACACTTGATATGGCTACCATATAGTATAAACATAACTCATATATGCATTGGGAAACCAAAAAATTCATGTGGTTTGCTTTAAATGTGATACTTGTTTTATTGTAGTGATCTGAAACTGAACCAACAGTATCTCTGAGGTACGCCTGTGTATATGTATTTGTGTACACACACACACACACACACACACACACACATCTCTTACTCTATGGATTAAAAAAAGGAAAGAAATGTTATGACAAGATAGAGCAAGTAGAGGGTGTTTAATTCTTGAGCCTTTGCAGAGAGGCAGCGTGCAGGTCCCAGTAATACAGCAATGTCTTTGCTTCCTTGCATTGTAACTTGTGCTGCTGGAACAAGGTTTCATTTGTAGAGGCTTATGCTAGAGATTTGAGCAAATGTTTGTTTGTAGTTTTTCTAAAGGATCATGAAAGAAGAGTATTTTAAATGAAGTAACTATGCATACATTAGAATTTTAAACATAATAAAATTGGTAAAAAAAAAAATGTGGACACTTAATCTTTGATTATGTAAAATTTAACAGAATATTTTAGAACCTTCTCACAGAAATCCTTAACATTAGATATTGTTTTAGGTATTTGGAGAATCCTAAGATGTCTTTGGACATTTTCCATAAAAAGAAAAATCCAAAACAAACTATACACGTATGTGAAAAATAAAGAATGCTTACCATCTGATATGGGTTGGCTGTGTCTCCACCAAAGTCTCATCTTGAATTGTAGCTTCCAGAATCCCCATGTGTCGTGTGAGGGACCTGGTGGGAGATGAATTGAATAATGGGAGTGGGTTTTTCCCATGCTGTTCTTGTGATAGTAAATAAGTCTCATGAGATCTGATGGTTTTATAAAGGGCAGTTTCCCTGCCCATGCTCTCTTGCGCATGCCACCATGTAATGTGTGCTTTTGCTACTCCTTAGCCTTTCACCAAAATTGTGAGCCTCCCCAGCCATGTGGAACTGTGAGTCCATTAAACCTCTTTCCTTTATAAATTACCCAGTCTTGGGTATGTCCTTATAGCAGTGTAAAAATGGACTAATACACCATCTATGAAAGATGAAAAGGAATTGAGATTTAATTGGCTTTATATACAGCACCATCCATTATAGATAGTACTCATTTGATTGCAACTTAAATTCAAAGACAGAAATCAATATGACCTCAATAAAGTATACATAAAATCAGGTAAATCACCTAGTCACATTATAAAATACCTTTGTGAAGATATAGCTAAATAGAAAATTATCATGAAAATGGTTAATTTTATGCTATTGGAAATTATGACTAAACTGGATGTTAACATTTTAGCCCAGACACCAAGACAAAGTAAATGTGAAATCTAAAATCAGACTTCCCTATGCAAAATTTGCAATGACAATCTAAAATCAGATTTTCTTGTGGAGAATTTGCAAAGATACTTTGGAAATCTGATTTTGTCACTTTAGATGCTTCAACCAGTATGAGGAGAAAAAGGAGATATATTAGTTTCCTGGAGCTGTTGTATCATATTATCATGAGCTACATTGCTTAAAATGATAGAAATTTATTGTCTTACAGTTCTAAGGAGGCTAGAAGTCTGAAATCAAGGTGTCAGAAGTGCCATGCTCCCTCTGAATCCTAGGGGAGATTCATCTTTTTCCTCTTCTAGCTTCCAGTGTTTGCCAACAATTCTTGGTGTCCCATGGCTTGTAGATGCATCACTCCAGTCTCTACTTCTGTCATCACATGGCTGTCTCTTCTCTGTCTCTATTCTCTTATAAAGATACCAGCCCTTTTAGATTAAGGGCCCAACCTACTCCAGTATAACTTCATCATATCGACTATCTCCATAAGTGTACACATTCTGTGGTACTGGTGGTTAGGACTTTAATATATCACAGTTCAACCCATAATGGAACGTATCAGTATATGGGGAAGTTTGCAGGATTTTGCCTAGAAAGAAAAGTTGCCCTCCCTCTAGAGGAGATGGGCTGGGATTCTAGCTTCCAGTGGATGATTCACAGCAGGGACAGTTCTTGACTGTGCAACACATGCAATCATATAAAGCCCTACAATTTTGGAATTCTTGATAATTTTATAAAAATAAGTTCTGCATTTTTATTTTGCACTGAGGCCTGCAAATTGTGTAGGATGACGTTTCAAGAGCTTGCTATATGCTTCTAGTACTTGAGAATATGGCAGGCTGTGACCTGACTCACAGATAATAAGGCTGGCCTGTGACAAATGAGTTCCAGGAACTGTCTGCACTGCCTAATGTTAGCCTGCCTCCAAGAGTTTTCACAAAAAGTGGCTTACATGTAAAATATACTTTGTCTTTTTCCCTTACATTTCACTTAATGGGAATCTCTAAGAAACCTCAAATGGTCTCAGGACAGGGAGCTTTAAATCTCTAGCAGACCGGAGAACAGGAAGGGGTTATACAAAATAGTTCAAGTAAGATCTCTCTTACAGCTTTGCAACTCTGGAATAATATTAAAAAAAAAAAAGCTGATTAGCAGACTGGGCAAATTTGGGAGTGGGCAGGAGCAGTAAGAAAATAAAGCAGCTTAAGATGTAAAACAGGAAAAGCCTTTTCTTCTGCAGGCTGCCAACATAACTCAGGTCCAACGTGGAGAAGGGGAATAGATTTGATATTTCATTACATTTAGAGTTTTGATAAGTAAAACTAAACAGTACATTCTAATTTTAAAATTGATCCCAAGGTTACCTAAACAAGTTAGCCCAAAAAAATCATGCACATCATGTTTTTCACTTAGGAATAAGGAAAGATATGTTAAATACCCCAATACATTATAAAGGGTTAATAGTGTTGTGGCCTGAATTGTGTTCATCAAGAAAATTCATATGTTGGAGTCTTAACTCCCAGTTTCTTAGAATGTAACTGTGTTAGAGATGAGTCTTTAAAGAGGTAAAGTTAAAATGGCATCATTAGGGTACCCTAATCCAGTGTAACTGATGTCTTTATTAAAAGAGGAGGTTAGGGCACATGCAAACAGAGAAGGAAGACCGTGTGAAGACACATGGAGAAGATCCCTCTTACAAGCCAAAGAAAGCGGTCTGAGCAGAAACCAACCCTACTAATATGTTGATCTTGGATTTCCAGCCTCCATACCTGTCAGGAAATAAATTTCTATTGCTTAGGCCACCCAGTCCATAGTACTTTGTTGTGGCAGCCCCAGTGAACTAATACAACAGTAAACAATAAACACTGAGTTATTACAGTAGTTAATTTTGAAAGGCATAATAATCAACAAGGTCCACAAAATGGAGCAAAGACATTATTACTTGTATCATTATCACTGTTATATAGCTGAGATTAAAAGAGATGAGTAAAAATGGCCAATGTAGTGATTGTTGGTAGACCTAGCTTGACTGAAGGACTATGGAAGAATGTATGCAATACTAGATAGCTCCTAATTTTAGTTTAGACAACATGAACAGCAAGTGTGAAACACAGAATTTTAAAATCACTGCAGGTACAATCTTGCAATACAATCTTCACATGTACCCCAAAACCTAAATCCAATAAAATATATATTTAAAAATCACTATAAATTATTAAATTCAAAGGATTCATACAAAGAGCTCTACTTATGTTTTGCAATACTGTAAGTTGGTATACATTCATAGAAATGTAATTGCACAATGAAGTAATAGAGCACATTTACTTAATGTAATATGTATAAAGCATAGAACACACTTTTTTAACAAAGTTAGTGTCCAATTAATGTTAACTTCCTCCCTGTTTCCTCTTTTATAATAGAAGGAAAGCCACAGAGATTGATTGTTTTTCCCTGATCCCAGCCACCTTAGCTTAATTAAAGTGATTAGACTTTGAACCAATTACTTGTTATTAAACTCAGTCTGGCACTGGAACAAATGGAAACATATGCTAAATCTATGGTTCGTGTAATTCAGTTCTGCTTTACTAAGTATTGGTAACTGATGATAAAGCAATTTGGGTGATCATTAGAAAAGGAAGAATAGTTTCCATTTTTTAAGATAATGTACAATGAAATTTTACTAATGAATGAATCAATCTTGTATACTGTAGTTATCCAACATGTGTGACAGTTTAAGGTAAAGTGCTTCATTGGTGTTAAGGTTTGAAATATTTTAAATCACATTATAGTCAGGCTTGTGGTTTTAGTCACAGCTAGAAGACAGGTTGGGCCTTACACATACTGAGAGAGTCTGTGGAGTAGTAAGACAGAAAAACAAGCAACAGCCATAAGGAATAGCTACTTCCTAGGATAACCAGCATGAGATTTGGAGATTGTCCCCAAAGTCATAAAGGAACCCATAAGTAGTGAATCTAGAGGGTCATAATACAATTATGAAATTATCAGGAACATCCATCAGCAGGTATTATAACCTCTTTCTTAGGACTGTGCAGTGGACAAGGGGTCAGCACAGACAGGCAAGACCAAAAATTGCTGTACGCCTATACTAAAATTTCTTGGCAGTATTGGGTAGATTCACAATTTGGGATTAACTCCAAGACTGAGAATAATAACTCTAAATATCAGCTACTGAATTTTGTCTGTGTGCCAAAATCTCTGCAAAGTATTCCACATATGTTTTCAGTATACCCAAACTGAATTCCATGAACCTTTTACAGTAGTAGGTATGAAAAATAATGACAATTATGGGTTTAAAAAAACTAATGGATATAATAATAAATAATTAATATCAAACCTAATGGCTTCCAGATAAAATCAAGAAGGATGTGTATATACTGACATGCACTGACTTATTATTATAAAGATTAAAAAAACCCTAGAAACGAGTATAAAAATTAGATTATTTCCCAGGTCCAAAAAGAAAGTTAATCCTGATTTTACATTAATGCAAGAAAAATAAGGAAGTGTTATCTACAGATAGTTTTAACAAAAATTCCTCATGAGCCAAATACTTAACATCCATTAATTTTTTTCATGTACAAAGGCCAAAAAAAGTCAATTTAGCAGACATACAATTTATATACATATATAAGTACAGAAACTATTCTACAAATATATCTTTCTTAAATGTAAATTATGTAAGGTATCTCTAATGACCACAAAATGAGTCCAAATTAGAAATTGAGGATCAAAGCTCTCCAAAACTTTCAACTGCTACTGTTTCCAAACTATCTTAAGAGACTCAAGAAGAATATACTGTATAAGAATGGCATGAGCCATTACCATATAATATTAAGGCTGAAATGGACGTTATGATGTCTCATTTTACACTGGCATTTGCATACATTTTAAGATGGAAGACTATCCTTCAGTATTGAAATAATCCTATAATGAACAATAGAAATTTCTCTCTCTCAGCTTAAGATTCACTACCATACTAACTTACGTAATTAAATATGCTTGTAATTGTGTTTAAAATAATACTGTTTGGGGAGGATATAAATATTTCTGTTTAATGGGTTTTTATTTTATTTTTCTTTTGGTAATCAGATGTTTTTCACTAAAGAATGTGAAAAAGTAATGAAGACAGAAAATTTATTTCTAAATTGAATACCTGAAGTCTGTGATGTATTTTACATAATTCATTAAATGTACTTCACATATTTTTCAAATTTGTATATTGTTGAGTAAACGTATAACCTTTGTGAAGAATTTTCTTTTCTTTTCTTTCTTTCTTTTTTTTTTTGGAGACCTGGTCTTGCTCTCTCACCCAGACTGGAGTGCAGTGGTGTGATCATGGCTTAAGCAGTCTGCCTAACTCAGCCTCTCCCACCTCAGCATCCCAAGTAGTGGGGACAACACGCATGTACCACCATGCTTGGACAATTTTTTTTTTTAATTTGTTTGTAAAGATGAGATCTCAATCTGTTTCCCAGGCTGGTCTTAAACTCCTGGCTCAAACAGTCCTCTCACCTTAGCCTCCCAAAGTGTTGGGATTACAGATGTAAGCCACTGACCCAGCCCTTAATAATTTCCTTTTAAGAGGTTTGCAGAAGAGGGTATTGGTGTTCTTTCATTGACTTTGCCGCTTCCTCTCACCACTGCTTGTGATTTTCATCGAAGTCCTGAGTAGCAGTACTGCAGAGGCAACTCTTCCAAGACTAACTCATTCAGCTTACAAGCTCCGGAGTTTATGTTATTTGTAAAGCTGATTTCATGAGATATCTTTGGGAAACAAAAGACCCTTACATGACCTTTCTCATTATGTACATTCTTGACACTGCAAGGAGAAAGAAAAACCCAGAGAATACTGAACAACACTTACCCTAGCTAATAGAAGAACACACATTCTATAATTATATGCTTAATAACCCGCATGAAACTTTAATAATCAATGTTATAAATAAATTATTCACACCAGGAGCAAAATAATAAAGATTATTATAGTTCAGTTGAATTATCTAACAAAGAGTCCTTAATCCACAATGACATTCTTGGATAATTTGAGAATAATTGATGTAGTCAAGTGTAGGCAAACCATATTTGAGAGATAAGTATAGAGCCTACCTTTAATGAGATCTCTAGAGAAGATAATTTCACACCCTTCAGAAGCTTACTGGCAATACTTAATACAATTTACAAGACGTACTTATGTTATCAGAAGGAAGATTTAAACTTTTATATGAAAAATGACATTGTAGATTTGGAGAACTGGTCATAAGATGGTAGGAACAGGAACTGCCCCTAATTGAGCTTTATGCAGTTGGCAAACTTTATTTTATTTAACCTATTGTGAGCTTTATAGTGCAAGTGTCATGCAAGAAATACAATGCCATCAAATAATTGAAATTTAATAGTTTATTTTATTAAATTGAGGCCTCACCAAAACATCATAAAATAGATGACATTTTCCCTATTTTGCAATTGAGGAAAAAGACTCAAAGAGATGAACTAGCTTTCTCAAGATGACATACCAGTAATTGTGTGAAAACACAAGTTTATCTGATATGAAAGCTTCCATGGATAGATTTGCTATGCTAAACTTTTAAACTATGACATTGTAAAATGTACATATTATTTTATTAGCTGAATTTTATATTTTCAGGTATTTTCTTATACTGCTGATAAAGAAATCCGAACCGATGACTTGTGCTTGGATGTTTCTAGACTCAATGGACCTGTAATCATGTTAAAATGCCACCATATGAGAGGAAATCAGTTATGGGAATATGATGCTGAGGTAGAGTATTTTCCTTAATTTACTTATTATTTGATGCTTAAGCTCAGTTATATATTTCAGCATTCATCATTTAAATCTTAAGGTGGTTTTTTATCTGCACTGGCAGAATTAGATTTTCAAGCATGCAGGTTCATATCTAATAATATTAGGATGCCATATCATATAAACAGGTTTTGCCAAATTGGTCCATTAATATAAAACATGAATAAAGACAATAAAATCAGTTTTCTGTATGATAGTTTGTTATCTCCATGTACATGCCAAACATAAATTAGGCAAGGGGCAAGCCAAGCTTATCTGAGAGGTTTATATGAAGATGTGCATATGGGATAATATTGACAATACATCCATATTTTTAAATTTCAAATTTTATAACACTAATCTCTGACATTTATGTTTCTGGACTGGAAGGAATAATATCTGACAAGCTTAACAAGATTTCTTTACTGTTTACAATTTTAAATACTTCACAGAATTCAATAAACTAATTATCATATAATGAGCTGATTAGCCTCTCCTCAGTATAGCACACCTTTCTGTCAGAGGAGAGGGAGAGAAAATAACAAAATTCCTGTTGGAAATTTATTTCCAGGCAGTGTGTAAAAACCAGATCAGCCATCAGATGGAGCTAATAAAAAAGAAATATTTTCCTTTGCATAAGGAAGCTTACTCTTGAAAACAGCTCCATTTCTTTCAGTTTACTTTTCTGATTAGCAAAATGAATTGGTCATCTGTGTTATATTTCCCACACTATTAATTAATAGGTGATTTATTTAAAAGAAGAACTAAACTTCATTCTTAAAAGATAAATTCTACAATAGAGATAAATGAATCTCACAGATGCAGTATTCCATGTAAGCCTAAAATATTCTACAATGTAACATTTTAAAAACCAATCTACAGAGTTTTTGGTATTATTGATATTTTAACAAGGTCTTTTATTTTGAATGTCATTTTAATTATTTGCATGATTTTGTAGTTTCTTAAGCTGAATATTAGGAAAACTTACCAAATTCTCATACGATTTGAAACTGGTTATGTAGGGTTAATTTGGGACCTAAAACTTACGTTATCAGGATCTTAGAACACAAAATCTTTTTCTGGGCCATAATTGAGGACAAACACCGAGAAGCCTTCCTATGTTGTACGAATGTGCTCTACTAAGATGATATTGCCTTCTCTATATCTTACTCACTTTATCTGACCACCAAGTTTTTACTCTTCAACTATTTTTTATGGGACCCATCCTTTATGTTAAGCCTACAGAAAACAGTGCTTATGAAAAATACATGCAGGTAAATCTGGACCCTTCCTCAGCACTCTATCTCTTCTGCGAAGAAAAGTACAATTAAATGTACAGATACAGTAGAAATCCTACAAGTGATACTTATTTTTAAATGAAACGTGTTCTTTTTCTTTTTGTTACTGTTTAGTTTCTACCAGGAACCTGAGACTCTATTAAGCTTATGCTAAAAATAAGAAAATCTAGAACATATTTATTAAGAAAGGGGAATGATTGTATGCAATTTTATAAAATGAAACTGTGTGAATTTTAGAATACTGCTTTTAAGCTTTAAACATTTCCATAACTCTTGAGTGAACAATGTCATAACTCAAATTCTTTCATTTCTCAAATAACTATCTTAGCAATTAGGTGTATATTTTTGTTTATATTTCCTGTCAGCTGGTAGAAATGTTATTGAATACTAAGGAATTTTAAGTAAAATGTGAAAAAAACTAGGTAGCTTCACCTAAGATAAATAAATGATTGCTATAAATTTACTCTTTTGGGTGACTAGTTGCAGTATTTCAGTGCACTGTAAATTTTTGTGTTATGTTTACTTTGATTTTGGAATACACACACACAAAGCTTGTAAAATGCCATAAATATTGAGAAATTGTTATTTTAAATAGATTATATAATTTATATAGCTTAATTATCTTTTATGTTTGTGTTTTCAAGATTAACTAGTGATATTCACATTGTCTAATGACACCACTTTGCCAAATTAAAAAAAAATTATAAGTCATAATCTTAAAAAATGAAAATAGAGCAGTTATAGGAATAATACATTGCCTTTCTGGAAATTTAACTTTGAAATGTAATTATATTTGTGATAAGGTCATAAGAAAGATATTCTTTTTAACAAAATTGAAATATAACATTAGTATGCTTTCAAGTTTTTTCATTCACAGAAGGGTTCCACCCTTTGCTACCCAAAGGGTAATTCTAGGACTAATATCATCACCTGGGAACTTGTTAGAAATGCAGGATCTGAAACCATGCTAAACACACAGAATCCAAGTCTGTATTTTAACAAAATCCCTGATCATTTATATACACATTTACATTTAAAAAGGACAGGGTCAAATATCTATGTATCTTCTATAGTCTCTTCATACACTGATTAAAGAATATTACAAATTCAGGATAAGGTATGAATATAATTTGGAAAATAGCAAGGCCTCCAGAGGGGAGCAGAGAGAGGGAAAGGGAGCAAAAGGGTAAGAGGTACTGAGATGAGAAAGAGGAATAATTGCTCTATTCTTCTCGTATTCCATCCTGTGTGAGCACAGCTTGCTACTTTAACTCAATTTTTTTATCTTTTGCTAGCAAGGACAAAATTATTCTTTGAAAAATCTCTAAGGTGGTACAGTTCAAGGCAGGATAAAAATTGTTGGAGTTCACAGAATTACAGAACTGAAATGTACCTTAAAGTTCTCTCCTTTCAGCTTTTATCAGGAGGAACTATAGCGCAAAGATTATACCACTAACAGCAGAGCTAGGATTCAGGTCCTAATAAAGTATTCAAAGCAAGCTAGCTATCAGTACAGTTGTGAATCTCACCATGTGAACAGCTGAAATATTCCATCACCTCTTCTCCCATAGTCCTTTTAATCTTAGAAAAGCAAGTCATAAATAGGAGCAGAATTGTTGGAATATCCAGAGAAAAATCGAAACAGTCTCATGAAGCCTCAAAACATGGAATCTATCCAGCTTTTTTGGTTTTGTTTACTTGTAGGGGAAAAGGGAAAGGAATAAAGTTCATCATGTATTTATCAATTTTCTCATGCAATTTTTACAATAGTCTTATAAGACATATTATTCTATTTTTCACATTATTAAACTGAAGCATAGAGTAAGTGCCTCATTTATGTTTGCACAACCAGATTCTGGCAGTAAATCCAGCAATTTTTCTACTATACTGCATTGCCTCTCAATGTTATTGAAAAACTAGAAATAATTAGATTATTTCAATGGTTATGATAAAATAAGCTAAATATACAGAATTTAAAATAAATTTGTCAATTATTTGTTGTGCCAAATTTTATTAACATAAAATTTCTCATTTTTTTTAATAGTGGAAAAGGTGTTCTGCAATAAATATGGTCTATTTAGCTAAACAGGCAGTCATAAAACTACTTTGTCATTTTGCTCCAATTGCTTACAAACTTTAGCTATACATATTCATAATATAATTAATGCCTAATTGCTTATCCTTGTAATTGAGTAAAACTAAGCACATGTTAGTAATAAATGCACTTCTTTGGTCAACTTTGATTTGAAATGTAGAGTTTCTGACACCCATAAATAAACAGTTCTTAAATAATCATGCATTCAATTCACTGTCACCTTATATGTGGCCTAACCTACTTGAATTGAGGGCAACCTGGGCATCATTAGTAAAATTGTGGGATACCTATCTGGATTAGAATTTTAAGCAAATTACAAAAACCCTTCTGTGCCATGAATTGCCTATTGCCAGGATTAAATGAAAAGAAAAAAATTCATCTCACTGAGGCATTTTAAAAAATATTTTTATGAAGTTCTGTCATCTATTCATTCTATTTTATTTGGGTGTTCTTATATTCTGTTTGAACATCACAATTGTGTTCCAGTCATTTTAGAATATTTTCCTATGATATGTGCACATAATTACATTTCTTTTTGAATAACTAGGCAGCTACATACAGTGTGAGAATCTAATTTTAGATCAGAACACTTGTGTCCAACAAACACTATGCAACAGAGAAAAAAGGGAGAAAAATATGATGCTAAAAATAACTTATTTTTCATGTGACTGAGCAAGTTGACTTAGGAAATACTTGATGTGAATTCTATATATATCTGTATCAAATAATTTCTAGGGTCACAATATAAGGAATTTTTTTCCATAGGCAAAATGCAGTAGATTAATATTTAGACTTTACTCACACTGCCCTCTTTTATTTACCTTTATTAGAGAGCAGGTAAATGGGATTATAATTTCAAGGTAAGTGATCTCTAAGTGCATCCCAACCATTCCCCTGTGTAGCATTCCTAAGACAGTGGCTCAGTTTACCTTGTGAAGTTTGTGTGCATTACACAGGTATTACTTTTCCGTATTCCTATTGACTTGTAGCTGTGGTTTCTCATTAGAAGTAGTGAGTAGGAATTTCAATAGATTTGTATCACGCTGTAGTCCCTGTATGTTAAACGATTACACTTCATATTTTGGAATATTTCTATTCTACTGAATGCATATATTACCTCGTCTAGAGATCATAATGTTGTGAATAACAACTTTTTTGTATTAACTTTCAACTAATTGTTATTCTATGTTTGATCAACAGGAGAAATACTATTGGGAATATCTTTGCTATGAAATTAAATATCTATAATAGTCCAAATTTGTCCTCATTTTGCATATTATTATATGTAATAACACAATTGATTGGGTTTTATTTTAATCTTTAATATACCAAATTTTAAACTGAGACCTGTGCAGTTGGCTCTCAAATCAACTATGCAGTCAGAACATTAAAATTTCTATTTTTTTCACTTAATACTTTTTAATATCAAGGTATAACCTAATTTTACAATATTAATGACTCTCATTTTGTCACCAAAATTCTTTAGCCTGATTCCAGTTGGCCTTAAGTAGGAATTTTATCTTTTGGAAGGGTAGATTTAGAGATACTTCATGCCACATCTTATGTTAGCAAAACATGTGAATATATTAAAAGGAAGGAATCATTAATGTATTTCTCAGTATTTTTAAATCTTATGATTAAAATTTTGTACATGGCAGGAAATACCAAGGCTTTACATTCTAGAGGAGAAAATAAAGTAATACTAAATTGTAAACAAAACTCAATATTAGCTTAGGGTTTAGAATCCTAATTTCTAGTCAATATTTTAAATAAAGCTATAGGAAAATATATTTGGCAGTAAGTTTCATGTCAGCCTGGATGTCACATAGTCTTCAAAACTGAGTTAACATAGCTGGATGAGGTGGCATGGGACTGTAGTAGCAGCTACTTGGCAAGCTAAGATGGGAGGATTGCTGGAGCCCAGGAGTTCAAAGCCAGCCTGGGCAGTGTAGTGAGACCCTTTCCTAAAACAAAACAACACTAGCTTAACTAGGCATTTGCCACAAAAACAGATATAACTTAGTTACTGTACTTTTTGAAGAGAAATTAGTATACCAGACATCAAAATGTGCAAAGACTTGAATTATCAGCATAGTAGAAACATAGCCAAAGAAAATGGAAAAAATGTTTTTAAATAACAAACATACATACATAAAAATCACTTTATGTTATTGTATTTATTTCTTATTTATCCTATCAATAGGGCAAGAAATGTTTTTAGCAGCAACATTTACTATTGGTAAAGATGCAGTGATACTGACGCCCATACAGTATCCTGACATATAGCAAGCACAAGAAGTGTTAGCTGCTGCTGCTGCTATTATTAAAAAATTACTGTTATAGATGTATTTTAAAGAACTTTGCTAATATATGTTAAAGTGTTCATATGTTTTTTTACCTTGCAATTTCACTTCTAAGAATTATTTTAAAGAAATAATGACAGATGTAGACACTGATGTTCAGAGATATTTGCCATTATTTATAATATGTTTATATATAATATAAATATATTGATAACATCTCATCTGCCATGTATTATAAATATATTATAAATAATGGCAAATATCTCTGAACATCAATGTATTGATCAAGTATCTCTGAAATACAATACATTTTTATTATTTACCATAGCTCCAAATTGGAAAGATATTAAAATCTTAAATGGATTTTGGCAAATTCATTTAAGAGCAAAAGTTTATTTCTTAATAATATGTTTTTAGATTATTTTAATGATAGAAAAAATATCCACAGCATGAATAAAATAATATTTTGTTATATGACCTCAATTATATAAACATATAAAAGATAAAATTATTAGAAGATACATACAATGTTAATAATTGTTATCTCCTCAAACAGTATACTCAGGAAAAAAGTGAACTATGTTTTCAAGCAAATGAAGACACTACATAATTTTGCGTGTTTTTTAAATGAAAAATAATTTTTGTCTAAATATGGACAAAATTTATAATTTTTCTTCTGGGCTACGGCTTTTTAGAAGTACCTGGAAAGAAAGTTCTTTGACAATTTTTTTCATGGCCATTCATGTGATAAATACCTTTGGGAAGTATGTTACAGTCATATTTTTATGGAAATTCTATATTGTATTTGTGCCCTGGAGTCACACTTCCAGAGGATAAGCAAAATCATTTTGTTTTTGTTTTGTGTCATAAAACTTTAATTTTTCTTTTAATTTACAAATAAAATTAAAATCATTTATATTAATATTTTGATGTTAACATGGCATTTTCCAAGAAAAGTTCACTGCAAGAAGAAAAATCACTGAGGGTAGAAGATGATCTAGCCTAGTGATTTTGAAGAGTATGGATGGAAAATTCATGTTTGGTTAAAAAAAACATAAATATAAACTATTCTTTGTAAAAAATCAAACTATATAGTTAACAATGCTATTTATAGTTATAGTTTTAATATAAACTACATAGTTAATATTATGAATGTTATTTTTTATCTTTATAAATTATGTACTATTTTACTGTAGAAGATAAATCCTTGAAAACATGATCCAATAATTTGTGTCTATTAATCTGCCTGAGAGATGCAGCTTAATTTTAACAGAATTTATTGTCTGCACTGGCCTATCATTAAGTGTTTGAATCAACAGACTTCTTTTGTGTCTTCCATGGGCAGGCACTAGGCTTCAAGATGTAGGTGGCCATAGTCTGTGGCTTCCTGGAGCTTATGTTCCTGCGAAGGAAATAAATGGAGAGCAAGAAACAGACAGATAAATAAATAAATTAAAATTGTTTGGAGAATTAGATCAAGTTAAGTTTATCTTCTTTTTCCTCCCTTTATTACCTACCTTCAGGCCGGGTGCTGTGACTCATGCCTGTAATCCCAGCACTTTGAGAGGCTAAAACAGTTGGATTACCTGAGGTCAGGAGTTTGAGACCAGCCTGACCAACATGGAGAAACCCCCATCTCTACTACCAATACAAAATTAGCTGTGCTTGGTGGTGCATGCCTGTAATCCCAGCTATTGGAAGGCTGAGTCCGGAGAATCACTTGAACCCAGGAGGCAGAGGTTGCAGTGAATTGAGATCATGCCATCGCACTATAGCTTGGGCGACAAGAGCGAAACCCTGTCTCGAAAAAAAAAAAAAGAAGAGTTGATAATCTTTTTCCTACCTTTATTACCTACCTTCCTAATTGACAACTAGCAAAGGTGGCAATGTATATGTTGAACCCTTCTAAACACAATCAGGTTAGCCCTATAAAAACACGAGTGGGAACAATATAAGTACCATAGTGTTCAAAGTAAAGCCTTAAAGCTAAATCATCCTCCAAATTTGTCCCTGATATTTATTTAATTTTAGGCCAAAGGAATGAGGAGGCCAAGGACCATAGTGGGACTAATCAACTATTTTGAATATCCACTCCCAAATAACTCTTCTGGTACTAAAAAGCATTGTATTACTAGGATGATGACTGAGAATATAATCTTTTATATCTAAAATAACCTTTTGCCAGAAATATATTATCGTTTACTCTCAAGCCCCTCTCCATATTCTCAGTCTTATCTTCATTTATTCCTTAATAGGG